CACTCTGATCTTGGAAAGTCTTCATTTTGCTCACCGCTCCAGGTCCGAGTGCCTCTCCGGGCGATCTGAGGGGACCTTGGGTGGTTTGAGACACGGCCCCACATAGACCTAGGACTGAAAGCAATTTTTTATATTTTTAGTAGGGACGGGGTTTTGCCATGTTGGCCAGGCTAGTCTTGAACTCCTGGCCTCAAGTGATCTGTTGGCTTCAGCCTCCCAAAGTACTGGGAGGACAGGCATGAGCCACTCTCCTGGCCTGAAACAATTTTTTTTGGCCAGGCACGGTGGCTTGCTCCTGTAATTCTAACACTTTGGGAGGCCAAGGAGGGCTGATCACAAGGTCAGGAGTTTGAGACCAGCCTGGCCAATATGGTGAAACCCTGTCTCTATTAATAATACAAAAGTTAGCCGGGCATGGTGATGCACGCCTGTAGAAAAAAAGGAAAAAAAAAAAAAAGAAAGAAAAAAATTTCTTTTGTCTGTAACCATTAGAATTATTTATTTATATATTTTTGAAGCAGAGTCTTGCTCTGTCGCCCAGGCTGGAGTGCAGTGGCTCAATCTCAGCTCACTGAAACCTCCACATCTGGGGTTCAAGCAATTCTCCTGTCTTAGCCTCCTGAGTAGCTGGGATTACAGGCATGCACCACCATGCTCAGCTAATTTTTATATTTGTAGTAGAGATGGAGTTTCACCATGTTGGTCAGGCTGGTCTCGAACTCTTGACCTCATGATTTGCCCACCACGGCCTCCCAAAGTGCTGGGATTATTGGTGTAAGCCAGCATACGCGGCCTATTTTTATATTTATTAAGCAATAAGCAAACAAAAAGGAAGAATTGGAGAGATAACCTAAAATGGTTTTATTTTGGAATAATTTTTTTTTTTTTGAGTCAGAGTCTTGCTCTGTCGCTCAGTCTGGAGTAGAGTGCAGCGGCGTGATCTCGGCTCACTGCAACCTCCACCTCCGGGATTCAAGTGATATTCCTGCCTCACCCTCCTGAGTAGCTGGGATTACAGGTGCCTGCCACCACGCCCAGCTGGAATAATTTTTTTTTTTAAATCAAGTAACTGTTTTTTTTTTTTTTTTTTTGACGGGGTTTCGCTCTTTTTACCCAGGCTGGAGTGCAATGGCGCGATCTCGGCTCACCGCAACGTCCGCCTCCCAGGTTCAGGCAATTCTCCTGCCTCAGCCTCCTGAGTAGCTGGGATTACAGGCACGCGCCACCATGCCCAGCTAATTTTTTGTATTTTTAGTAGAGACGGGGTTTCACCATGTTGACCAGGATGGTCTTGATCCCTTGACCTCGTGATCCACCCGCCTCGGCCTCCCAAAGTGCTGGGATTACAGGCTTGAGCCACCGCGCCCGGCCTCAAATAACTGTTATTAAGTTGCATGAGACTGAAACTGCACCTGGAGAGGAATTTCATTTTCATGACCTACAAAACTGATTAGGCAGTGAGCTCTTTCCCCTCCTCCCCCTGAATACATTTATAAACTTCAATGAGGGCAAATTCCATCTAATACTCTGAAAACCACTGATCATCTCATAATTTATCCAAATCATGTGCACAACTGCAAGAGGAAATAAACAGAATCTTAAAGCATGCATAAGCCACAATGGATTGTTAATCTTGTACAGACAACCCAGCATCAAGGCTAAGTTGATCTTTTAAACATTTTATGGAAAACAGCTGTTAAGTTTTCACTGGAAAAGCCCACAAACTTTCATGACCCCAAAGGCACACAGCCTTGATAGGCATGGCTCCATTGGGCTCCTCTTGAACTGGGCACTTCTTCATGGGTAGAAAAGCAGGAACGCACATGTTTTTGATTCCTGCTGCCCTGCACACATGGCACAGTATGTGGCAGAAGGTGGTTTCCATCTTCCTTGGAGACATTAAACACCTTCACGTCATTTCTGTTTCTGATTTCTTCTACAAGGGCCAGTGGCTTTCCTCTAGGGACTGGGATTGTGCCAGCATCTGACAAACAGCTTGGATGAAAGGCTGACTAAAGAGTTTCATTTTCCCACTCTCATCAATGACGCACACTCTTTGCCCTGGGCCACTGCTGGAATCTGCATTCCTCAAGATGAGGAGCACCAGCTTCTCAAAGTAAGTCAGGTTAACCACATGATGCACAACTTGCCGTCCACATTTTCCAGGTGGAGGCTCTTACCCAACTCTAAATAAAGGCCCCCAGATGCCAGACAATGTGACGACATCAAATCCTATTCTTCTCCCTCCCTGTCTGACTTCCTGTGTATAAAATCCAATGGGGTCATGGTCAGGTAGCAGTCCCAGCATTTCGGGAGGCCAAGACAGGTGGATTACTTGAGGTCAGGAGTTCAAGACCAGCCTGGCCAACATGGTGAAGCCCGTCTCTAATAAAAATACAAAAATTAGGCCGGGCGCGGTGGCTCAAGCCTGTAATCCCAGCACTTTGGGAGGCCGAGGCGGGTGGATCACAAGGTCAAGAGATCGAGACCATCCTGGTCAACATGGTGAAACCCCGTCTCTACTAAAGCTACAAAAAAAAATTAGCTGGGCATGGTGGTGCATGCCTGTAATCCCAGCTACTCAGGAGGCTGAGGCAGGAGAATTGCCTGAACCCAGGA